AGTTGAATGCCTTTGATATGCAAGGGTGTTGAAATGAAATGAAGACTTTTATATCCAACACAAATATATATGATATATAACTAAGAATTTAATGACAAACGAACAGATAACAAAATACCTTTAGTCCACAATCAAACAAGAACATGAAATAAGGTGAGCTATCAGTTCTAAGTCCTTCAATCCTTATATAAATATATTGGTGTAGATATGATTTGAAAACAAAAACAATTTTAAAGTATAGGAAAATACTTTTTAAAACACTTAAGGATGAAAATAAGTTTGATAAACGTTTAAAACAACTTTAATGGCATGGTAATTTGAAAATATAGAAAATCTTTTTGATAACAAATTGTAAACCACATATGATTAGCACTATAGCTTTTTTAGTTCATCTTGTATCCCCCACCCATAAAACATATAAAAACATTTAAAAGGTTGATTAAGGGGTACGAACTCACTTGTAGTGAGTGATGCGACGGTAGGATCAGTTTAGGAGGTTGAGTGTCAATTGTGGACATGAGCATCAACGGGTCTTATTAAGCATATAATAACATATATATGTGTGTAATTAGAGCTTGGAATAGCTATTTATTGCATTGGAACTACTTTAGGGACTAGTAAACACTTATTATGAAGTGTTGCAATCATATAAGATTGTACACGAGTGGTATATGACTACCCAATGGAGTGTCTTCTCAAAGTGCACAACAAATGTGTGTTTGTGGTTGCATACATGAGTGTGCGGCTGTACACAGGAGTGTGCGCCCATACACTCCTAATTTGTGCCCAAAACGTTGATTTTTGAGCTGTTCTTAAGTCATATGAGTAAATGAAGGCCAAACTCTTCACTTTGGAGAGTTTTGAAGGTGTGTGAGGCCACCATATGAAGGTGTGCGGCCTCACTCCTTCAAAGGATGAAGAACACATGAAGAACACTAAGAACACTATGAGTTTTAAGCTTAGATTCAGATGTTTTACCAGTAACAAGCTGATTGATGGGGTGATTCACATTCTTGAGGGCCTTAGTGTGTTCTTTGAACGAGATTTTTAGAGAGAGAAAGTAAAGAGAGAGGTAGAGTGCAACCAAGGAAAGAAAGAATGAATGAAGGGGGTCCTCCCCTATATACACAGGTGAGTGTGTGGCTGGAAATGGGTGTGCGGCCACACACACCTGTGTGTGCCCGTACACTCAAGTGTGTGGCCGCATACTCCATGTTTTGGAGTGCTTGGCCCGATTTTGCTTATATGCATTGTGTTATCCTGTTTCTAGGTTCCTACCACATTTTTATTGCGTTTAGAACGCTCCAATAGACCCCAAACGGTGTTGAAAGCTAACAAAATGAGTCTAAATTAGACTCAATTGGTCTCTTGTACAAGAAAGAAATTTCCAGATGTCATAATATAATGTAATAACAACACAAATCTTCAATCTCTTGTCTTGGAAAGCAAGTACCACAAGTGTAGTACCTCTAACAGCTCACAAACACCACAAGCAAATGGACAGGCAAGAGAGAGAGAGAGAGGGGAGAGGCAGGAAATCGACTCTAAGCCTTCTTAGGATCAAGTGGTCGATTTCCCTTAACCAAGGGATCTTTATATAAGGTAGAGATTAGGGTTTCAGTCCTTATCCTTATCTAGTTGCTTGCCCACCAAGCAACCCATAAAATAAGTCTATAACCCTTATCCTTGGACGAATTCTAGGGCCTTATCCCCTTGAATTCGGCCACCCCTTCCTTGGGGCATCCATTGCGCTAATTTGCAACTATCACATAATCACATTCAGCCCCTGTAGTTTAAGTAATTAAATATGATCACAAAATTATTTCTGAATTAATTATTGACCAATATTAATTAAAAAATATTATTTCCCCTTTAATATATTATTCCTATAATATATTAATAAATCATAATAACCTCTTTCTTTATTATTTCTCCAGTTACGTTGCTTTGGTGAAGGCAACCCAAAAGGACCATGCACAACCGAGTCAAGTACTTACCAAATATGGTTACGGACTTAGACACTAATCCAACGATGTGTTACGTGGGTTTTATATGCGGTATACTCTAGGGCGTAAGTGATGCGGGTGCAAGGATGAGTACGCCCAGCGTACTCTCAGAGTTCTAAAACCCTAAAATTAGGGCCAGCCACTATATAGGGAACATGTTGGTTCATACCCTAGCCTCCATAGACACTCTTTTACCCCCAGAAACCCTAGAAATCCGTATTCCCTCCATTGTTGGGTGTGTTTGGCCTTGGAAAGCTCATTTTTGGCAAAAGAGAAGCTAGAAGAAGAAAGGAGAAGTTGTCAAAGAAGGAGAGGAACAATTGGAGCTTGTAGATCTGGAGAGATATCATCCTTTGGAGCTTATTTGAGGTATAAAGCTTCTTGCTTGTAAATTATTTTTCATAGATGTAAGTGTTGTAAAGTTTTGGCATCATTCTTGTCCCAAAAGTCCTCATCTTGATTCATGCTTTGTGTTGGCCGGTATTATTTGTCCTTTCAGACCTTTGGAGAGGTCTTGAGTGAGAAAAATGAGGTCCCAAGGGCTGTGGTTGTTCCATGTGTGAGATATATAGGTCTTAATGGATTACGACCTTGGATTAAGAGCTTTATGGACGTCCCAAGTGATAAAGTTTGAGAGTTTATGAATCTTAGGCAGATTTGGCCTAGGGATCTGAAGTTTGGGCTTAAGAGCTTAAACCATTAAAGTCGTTATGTGAAATTGTTGAGCAACAAGGTTACGCACCGCGTAACCTTTGAGTACGCCCCGCGTACAGAGTAAGTGCCCCGATCCCCTTTGCGAATCAATGTTGTACGCCCAGCGTACGAGAGAGGGTACGCCCAACGTACTCTCCCTGATTGGACTTCCATGTTGGGCCTTAGAGTTTGGGCTGTTTTTGGGTTGTTGGCTTATAGGCCATGACTAGAAATTTATGGATAGAGTATTTTGGGCCCAATTATTGTTATGGACCTTGGATCTAGGCCCATTTGGTGAGGAAGACCCAATTTAGTAAATTGGGCCAATATTGGTCTTTGTATAAGATTTGAGTTAAGGGTAAAATGGTGAATTTACCCTTGGAAGAGTATTGTACTTGGCCTAATGTTTATTTTGTTATGATGGCTAGTTCGAAATTTTCGGTGAGTCGGTGATTCGGGAATCTGCTTCTTCAGTTCAGAGTTTTGGGAGTGAGAGGTAAGTTATCCTCACTATATCAACAGGGTCTAAGGCACCAAGACCGGCCCTTTATGGGATTGATATCCGGGTATTTTGGTTATGTTATTGCTTTGATATGTTTGCATCCTGGTAGCTAGGATGGTATATGTTAGAGACCTGGTTAAGATTGATATCCTGATATGTAGGGTGATGCTATGCTAGTGACCGGTTAGGTCGGTATCCGGTTAGGATGATGATATGTTATGTGATCTGTTTGATCGGCTTGTTGATTGTGAACTATTATATGATTGTATGTTTATGTGCACATGGTTGTTTGGACTGAAGTTGGGTTGAGGCGGGTCCTACTTTGTGCTGTAGGCCAAGATACCCAGGGCGGACCGGTTGTTCCGAAGGCCCAGCGAGTGGTCCTGATAGGCTGTAGGCCCCACGAGGGCGGACCAGACGTGCCGAGGCTCGGAGAGTGGGCCACGCCGACTGAAGGCCCGATGCGGGCGGACCAGTCATACTATAGACTCAGAGAGTGGACCACGTGGGTTGAAGGCCCGGTGCGGGCGGACCAATCACACTGCAGACTCGAGGGACATGACTAGACTCGGAAGGTGGACCTGGAGGACTGAAGGCCCGATACAGCGAACCAGTCACACAGTAGACCCGATATGCATGACTGTTCTGTGATTTGATATGATATAGTATGTTATGTGTGTGGTATATGTGGTTGGTATATTGGGGGTATCTCACTAAGATTTCGGGCGTACAATTGTGGTTTAATATTTTTCAGGTTCTTCAGGAGACCGTGGCAAGGCAAAGGCGTGATCGTACCGCTCCTCGTGTTTATGTTTTATGATATCGACCTGGGAATACTCTGATAATAAATGTATTGAAAACCTTTTTGTAATAACGTGATTAAACTGGATTGTTTTTGAAAAGTTAAATTTTGTTGAAATTTTGGTCGTTACATCATGGTTTATGGATTATATTTTGGACAATCAAAAATGAAAAATTTCTTTTGAAATTTCGGTCGTTACATAAGAAGTTCATGAAATGTTAAATCAATACCACATACTTAAATGTGACGAAAGAAAACCTAAAATCTCAATCCATAATTTATCGAAAGAAAACCCAGCAGTAATGACTTGCGTGTAGAACTAGTAATGCAAGGCATTGAATGTAAGTTCTTCATCCTGAGGGAGATGAACCTTTGATTAGCTAATTTACTGGTAACGCACGACACTAAAGCAAAGAAGTTGGTTCACTGATGTTTTCAACGAGATAATGGTTGATCATGGTTTCGTGATTTGCATCGGAGGGCTTGTTGACTTCGCATCTGTCGGCAAATCAACGGAGATTTGAGAGATTGAATTTAGTAGATGAAAATAGATCGACGTGATCAAGACCCAGATTTGTAGTTTCCAGCATCGATGATTGCGCCGACGTCGTTGGCTTTAGGGTTGATTTTGGAGAACAGGGAAATATGACTTTGAACTGATCATGAATGAGTGGGGGTGTTGGCGGAGGGGAAGGAATGAGGGTATGTGGGAACAAGTGTTATAATAAAATAGTTTCAGAAATAATTTTCAATATAAAAAAAATATAGTAAGGGTATAATATTCTTTTTATATGACTATGTGACCAAATAGGCAACAAAAAGAAAATATATAGATGATCCGAGTACAAATAAAAAATTAGGAACCAAACGTAAAATTTAACCACACCACATAACCATTTAGTAATTTGTTCTTGCATTTATTTAGATAAATTTACTCATACAATGGTTAAAAGCCAAACTTCAATTCAAACCATAAAATCAGACCCTAAAACTTTTATCAAACAACGACAACCACTAATAGTAAAGGTATGAAAACTGCGATATAAGTAACAACCACAAATGAAATAAACAAAGGAAGGAATAGTAGCCACTGCACAGCTCCCCAGTTATTCGATCCAGAAGCATACATCATTTGAATGGTCTTTAGAATAGACGTCCCAGTGTTACCGTTGACCTCAACAGCAGATCCAACCATCGGCTTTGACTTTTTGTTCTCAATCGACTTAAACTTTATTTTGGACTTAAAATCTACCATGAAATCAATCACTTTCCCAGCGCCAAACAATGAAACATGTTTTACTCCCAGTGTCCTACGCTGTTCAACGTTTGAAAACAAGTCTTGAACCACCGCAAAGGCTTGGATATGGTTAACCTTTCCGTTCCCTTGATAAAACCCTTGAATTGTCATAAAAATGGTTATGTTTCATGGGATACAAGTGATGCTGAGATTTAGAGGATCCTCGTAGTAAATCCCTACCCCAAAATTCTCATTCTTGAATTTCAGGTCAATATCGATTGTGGTGGTGTTAGTCAACGAACTTGATGTTTTGTTAAGCGAAGAAACATACAAATCAGCCACTGAAATGGTAGGATGATCACGAGATAGAAATAGGACTGTCAAGTAATATGAAACACCAAATGAAAAGAGAATTGAGACTCTTAAATATCTAATGCTTGCTTCAACTATCTTTGTGAGTGATCGTTGTTCCATTACTTGCGTAGCATACTGGGAATATTTCAATATCATACTGGAGGTGTAAAGAGAACGAGAGAAACTAGTCTTTTGTTTTTTCATATAGACCAAGACTTGTAACATCAAACTGGCAACAACTGGTGTATATATATATATATATATATATATATATATATATATATATATATATATATATATTAGGGTCCTTAACCGTCTCTTTCCATTCTGCGATCAAACTCCTTCGGGTTCGTTGTTGTCCTTCTCTGTTGGACAGTCCCTCTTGAAGTGTCCCATGACGCCACATAGCTGGCATATCTGAGAGGTTTGGACATTGGTGGTTGATGTAATGTGTTGAATCTGGATCCTATAGCAGCTGGTAGTATGTCCATTCCTGTTGCACTTAAAATAGTGTAACAGACAGCAACTACCCAGATGATGAAAGCTACACTCATAGCATTTTGGTAGGTTTCCAGCATATTGTCTGGCTGGTGTAGGGACAATTAGGACACCAGAAGGAATGGTAGTAGGAGGTGCAGATGTAGTAGCTGTGAAGGTCATTACCGGTGGTTGTTTCTTATTCGCCCCTCGAAGCGATTTATCCTTCTTTTTGGCCCAAAACATCCGTTTGTTACTCTTGGTCCTAGAACTCGGGGTATCGTGGTAGTTTATTGCTCGTCGAGGTACAGGATTCTCACCTGGATTGGCATTGTTGTTAATAGCTTCGCTAATATTCGCATCGTTAGCGTGAAGGTGGGTCAGAATAGTTGACACGGCAGCCGAGACTGTAGCTTGACAGGTGGCCGCATCAATCTGAAGGGTTGGTGCTTGGTTGATGGGTTGATCGTTTTTCTTTGGCGACATGATTCTATTTCATGGAAAGAAAATGAATTTGTGAGTGATCATGGTTGAACCTAGACTTAATTCGACTGTTTATGAAAAGAATAAAAGTATGTTCTCGTGAGTTTGACCTACATCCCTATGATGCAGTCCTTGTACTGAGTGAGAGTAAGTTCGTAAAATGGTCTCAAGACGTTTGTCGTTCAATTTGGGGTATCGATGGTCGATGAATACATGATTCAACCACTAAAAGAGACTTGGAAATGTCTCCGAAGTTAAATTACTATAGTCCAATGACTTGACTAAAGTATGTTTCAGATGGACTCAATGAAAGTATGATAAGCGCACCTGAATAAGGACTGACACAGAAGTTAGCCGACTTCATATCCAGAGAGGATACTCCTTGACAGTATAAAGACCTAACCAAAAGTACTTATGGTACACGATAATTTCATAGAAAATGCCACTTCGGGCATAGACAGAAAACAATTCCTTTTAACAAGGAAAAATAAAATAAAACATCTATTACTGGCGATGGTAATCTCTCTAGTGAACTCTTAGTTCAGCCAGTTGACGTTCCATATCAAGCAGGTATCTTTCGTATACCCTCTGATGTACTCGGATCTCAATGACTTCGGCTCGGGTTTCAAATAGTGCTTGTAGCAGGGTTCGTGGTTTCTCTCAGATGTATCGCAACAATCTTCTAGACGAATGGTGCATAGTGTATGCATTCTCGCATTGGCAACAACTTCAGTGATCTGATGTAGGGCTGTCCTGCCTTCAATCTCAATTCGAGCCACTCTGTGGACCAAGATTGGTAAGACTCTGTCTGCAGAGCCCCCATTGCTCAAGTCATAAAAGCTTCGGTCACCATAAAATGGCATGGGCTGATCTTGTCCATGGCTCCATGTTTACAAACATTCCACCCATGGAGGCGTTGGGCCATGAAAATCCGGACGAGGGTTAGGAATTTGAAAGGGAGCTGCCTGGGGTAGATCTTCAACCTCGGGTTCGGAATTAGCATCATCTGAAAGGTCTTCATCATGGTGATCATTCACAGGGATAGGATGATCATTTTCTAGATCTTCTTCAAACCATTTAGCAATAAATTCGTTCGGAAGGAACAGGTTGTCGTGGGGATGGAGTCCAGCCATGTTATCTACGCGAGATTTGGGGTAACAAAATAATTATCTAGATAAATAATTATTTAGAAAATCTTCATCAGTTACATTGCTATTTGTGAAGTGCATACCAATTATATGTAATCGAAACAGGATAAGCCTTCGAATAAGTGACCTTAACTCCATATTCACACAAAATAGGAGTGAAGTAAAATTTTCACAAATTCTCAGTCTATGACATCCTAATTACATATAGTTTTAGTGTATCCATTTAGCAACTATCAACATAGTAATGAAGACCCCGTTTTAGTTCTCAAGTATAAAGTACTTATAGTAACACCAAATACTCCTATAGTATTTTAAATTTTTAATGTTATGTTCTATTGTTCTCATTGTGGTAGGGTTGGTAAGATTTTAGCATTGTTGCAACCACACAATTAAACTTAGGCACATGCTAGTCAAATCTCGGATAATATAGGTGATCAGGCTATATCTTCCCAGTTTTGACCATATGTCTCTAAGCCCACTTGTGTCGCCCAACAATCGTAATTCTTTTGTACCGTCCTAGTGACACTGATTTTAGTATGAATGCAACACGCATACTTACTTAAATATTTTAATATTTAAAGTATAAACTCTAGGTCAAAGTATTTTTAATCCCTTATGTATTTATAGTTAGTATATCTTTTATGGGTTGATATACTTAATTCACTATAAACAATGCTCTGATACCAATCTGTCACACCCCAAAAACCGAGAACGGCAGAAACGTTCTGGGGCGGAGGACGTCATGTACAGTATCACAACAATGAAAAGTAGTAAACAAGCAACAACATCATCCATTGCATTAATAATATAATTATTATACAAGTGTCCTGTTAAATTTTGATAAACACAAAAGCATAAATCAAAATGAAAGATGAGTCTTGAACAAGCTCCATCTTCCTTTCTCCTTGCATCGGTACCTATCTAAGATGACCTGAGGATACAAGTAATTTTGAAAGAGAGTATCAGCTTTAAAGCTGGTGAGATCATAAGTATTAATGTCTCTAAATTTCTAAAACTTGTAATTTAAGACTTGACATTGTTTTGAAAGAAAGCTCGTATAAGTATGAAAATGTTTGTAGAACGACTGTAAATGTTTGAAAAACCCCAGAAATCCCTATGATTCCTACTATTATAAAATGGAGTCTTCTACTAAGACCTAACTGCTCTGAATGTAGCCTTCTACCAAGACCCGATTGTGTTACTATTATTATTATTATAAGAAATTGTATCCTTTGGTACTAGGATACTCAAATATAATTCACCTCATTGGTTATGTGAATGAGTCACAAAATAAAGGTAATAATACAACTAACCTAAGTATTACCCTTTTGTACTAGGGTAACTAACAGTGTTAACTTAAGACATCCGTAGATGTACATTTACCTCTGTTGCTAACAATTGGGTGTAGAAATAGTTAATCCCTTAAAGTATACCTGTAATGGTATCAACTGTTGACATCCGTGGATGTGCTTTTACCTCTGTAGCTAACAGAGATTCTAGGAATGGTCAATCCCGCAACGTATCCTTTGGTACTAGGATATTAAATCCAATCTATCTCGTCGATTATGTGATTGTATCACAAGGTAAAGATAAGAAAGAGGATTATATAACATAATCTATACATATAAAATGTATTGATAACTCGTCATATATTATCTATGTAAACGTAATCATGTAAATGTAATCATGTAAATGTACTTATGTAAATGTACCCATGTAAATGCAATCATGTAAATGTACTTATGTAAATGTACTCATGTAAATGTAATCATGTAAATATAATCATGTAAATGTACTTATGTAAATGTACTCATGTAAATGTAATCATGTAAATGTAATCACGTAAATGTACTAGCTGTAACATGTTTTCTCTCTCTATCTAGCAAGTATTGACTCATGAATGAACTGACTCATTGTATGATATCGTGTTATAATAATAGTTCTAGTATCTTCCTAAACTACTCAAATGGTAGCTTACTAGTAATGTAACTTGTACGTATGAACATGGAAGTATACCCTTGCTACTCAAGGGTACTGAATAAAATGGAAGAACCTTTATGACTATATATGTACAGATGATATATAACTAATATTTAAACGACCTTCGAACGGGTACCGGATATCCCACCAGACCACATCTCAAGCGCGAAAAGGAAATAAGGTGCATAGCCTTCCTAAGTCTTTTAAACATTACTCATATAAATATACATATATGTAGGCATGCAATTTATAATATAAAAGCATAAAGTAAGTTTTGTAAAACCTTTGAACATAATTATTATCTTAAGAAAAGATTTACTTGATGTCAATCAATAAAACAGTTTGAAGTAAAAACATTTTGAAGTAAGACAGTTTGAATTAAAAGCAGTTTGAAGTAAAACGTTTTGATAACAGCTTGGAGTAAAACAGATCGGAGTAAAATGGTTTGTAATAGGATCATACAGCATGTAATGAACCATTTAAGAAAATCATTTGAGGATCCTGTTTGGTAAGAATGGTTAAAGTGAAGTGAAGAATGATGCATATTAATCACATGTGATTGATATAATAACTAGCATAATTCTACTTATTAATCACATGTGAATGATACAATAATTAGCATGATTATACTTGTATCCCCCCCCCCCAATAAAACATTTAAAAACATTTAAAACATTAGTTAAGTGGGTATGAACTCACGTGTGGTAAGTGGATCGGAAAGAAGTGTCG